AACCAGAGAAATGGAGATTTCTCATCGATTCATCAAAAAGAAGTTTGAAAGCTGTACTTCTTTACAATGGGTACCAATATGCTTCTGTGCCTGTTGGAAACTCAGTCCATTTGAATGAATGCTACAAAAATCTTGAATTTGTTCTTAATAAGCTTAGCTACTCTGATCATAAGTGGACCATTTGTGGAGACTTGAAATTTATTTCAATATTACTAGTCAACAAAGTGGTTACACTAAGTTTCCATGTTTCCTATGTGAATGGGATAGCCGTGACTGGAAACAACACTATGTGAAGCGTGTGGCCAATAAGAAAGGATCTCATTCCTGGAGTTGAAAATGTTGAAAAATGAAGTTTAGTGGATCCTAAAAAAATCTTACTTCCACCACTCCATATCAAATTGGGGCAAATGAAACAGTTTCTGAAAGCATTAGACAAAGAAGGAGATTGTTTCAAGTATCTTTCTGAAAAGTTTCCTGAAAGGAGTCTTCGTTGGGCCTGACATAAGAAAACTTCTAAAAGATGAAAGCTTTGCCACTAAAATGGAAATGAAAGAAAAAAAATGCCTTGTTATAACAGACTTTCATGGAAACAAAAAAGATCCAAACTACAAAACTTTGGTTGCTGAATTGATACAAAACTATAAAATGTTGGGCTGCAACATGAGTGTCAAAGTCCATTTCCTTCACTCACATCTGGACTACATTCCCGAAAATCTAGGGGCGTGAGTCAGGAACTAGAAGAACGGTTCCATCAAGACATAAAAGGAATGATACGCAGTTACCAAGGTCGGTGGAATGTTAACATGATGGCAGACTACTGTTGGATGTTGAAAAGGAAAAATTCACAAGAACACAGCCGAAAAAGTACCAAAAGAAGCTTTGACGAAAAAAGAAAACGTTTTTACAAATACTTATAATCACTATTATGCAGAGTTTAGCTATATAGCATTGTTTTTTTTTGCTTTTACTTCATGTTATAATTTGTGATATACTGTTTAGAACCTTTGGTGTAGTAATGAATATTATTGGAGTTTTTTCCCAACACCAAATCGTTATTTTTACACCTCGACACGTGTTTCGATCACCAAGTGATCATCTTCAAGAGGAAGATAAAACTAATAACTACTCAAAACTAAAGCTACTTATGCTAATCAGGTACATCAGGTACCCCTCAGCCCACTCGAACTGAGGAAAGCAAAGTTCAGGCGCTTTGTTGAGCAAAGGTCTTCAATCTTATTGAAGAAGACTCTGTGCCCTGGCTTAACCTTGTGTTGTCGGCTATTACATAGACCCCCGCTCTCTCATGATCGCTGCCCATGTAGAGAAGGGGATCCGAACTCCTGATGACTTTACAGGCTCCATCCAGTATCATACTGTCATACAGATACTTCAAACTCAAAAATCCGCGGCTACCCTGTCGGGAAAACTGTGGTCACACGATTTGGGATACAAACTCCTACAGAGGTGCATCATTTTTCAGGTCTTAACGTCGAGTTGATACAGCTCCTCCTGAGTCCACTTCATCACGCCAAACGAGTAGAGTGAGATTGTTACGGCAAGTATATTCGTAGCACCAACTTTGTTCTTCCCCGACAGTTTCGATGACCAGTTCTGTGGGAGTTTGTGCTGATACGTTCCGCAGAGAGTGTTCTTTTCTGCTGTTACTTCTTGTGAGTGGCATTCAGATGATGTAGGATGCTTCCATCTACGAGCTGCACATCTTCTCCCCAGTCCACGCATCATCCCCTTTTGAGATAGACCATTGCACATCTGTCTGTCCAGAATTTCATACCAATAGCATGCATATTTACTCTTCCATTACCGTCAAAGAATGATCAAAATCCTTTTCACCAGAGGCATAAAGTTCAAGAACATTCATATAAAACAAAGAGGTGATCTTATGCCTCCGGTATTATATCCTCGAGTATTTCTGAGGGGATGTTTTCGAGTTATGTCTGAGAGACATCGAAGTTCAATTCTGGTAGAATGTGCAACGCATCTATAAAGCTATTAACTATTTCATACAAAAAGGTGATGCTCTGACTAGTTCTTCTGTGAGCTAGGGAAGGTAAATTGAATCATTGTAATGAACGTGTAGTATGAAAAATTCCCCTCACCAGCAACCTTGAAATATATTAATTTCAGAAAACATTTTTAGAGCAGTATGGTGCACATTATATTTATATATGATTCCAATATTTTAATTTGGAGGTAACTGAAGAAAAATGTGGAATTTTCAACGACAAGATATTTGTGAATGATTTACAGTTATAAGTCACTAACCACAAATTCTCCAAACTAGAAGATATAACGTTATTTATATGTTCATTTGCTGTCAAATGAAAAGTCGAAATCTTCTGCCTCCTCAATGAAAGAGCTGTATATTGATGAACGAATAAGAAAACTGCACCAAGGTTAAATTACGACTGCATCTACAAACACACCTGCATTTTGATATATCCATGTAGAGTTCATCATTAGAACACCAAGTTTCAATAATGTACACCTGAGAAACAAGAAATTCACAATCTGGCAGAGACAGTGTTCAGGTCATTGGTTTCATGAATGAAGAACAGTATATTTAAACATTCTGACATATCTCAAAGGGATGAGGAATTGTTATATTTCATCCAACCGACACAAAACATTCATAATTTGTACAGATGAACCTTCTTTTTGTATCACTTTGTCCATAGGTGGGTACCGTGAGAAAACCCACACGGTACTTTTTGAGCTTATCGCGTTCAGACAGACAGACAGAATCCGCGGAGGAGGGGATTTCTTTCATAATATGTAGCTATGAAAAATAACTCTTGGCATTAAAGTCAACATACCTATTCAATAAGTATTGGAGGAACGCTTTCAACGCTGTATACAGGGTGTAACTAAATAAGTGTAAAACATTTAAGAAATTTCATTGGAGCGTCCATTGTTGAGATACAGCCCCTTGAAGGGGGTACNTCATCTCCGCGATCTCATATTCTCCTGCTACAAAAATCTTTGATGTAGGAAATACTCGCAGGATTTAGATTCCTATCTCTCGCAGGAATCCGAAGAACGCGATTATCGAGCAAATCTCGCCACTTCCTTAGCTACGTACCATCACCCGCTTTCGTTTCTGCTCTCCTGCTATGCCTCAGCAGTAACACAACGTGGCATTAGCGAATGTAAACAATAGACAACCAATGGGCGTGCGAGAAAAATGATACCGAACATGCTTTGGGGCAGACGCTGTAAATACGCAGGACGGGAAAGCGGTTATGCTGCGCCAGCGAAGTGTTGCAGTAAAAGCGACTCTGCAGGAATTGAAAACAACTCTCTTGCCTGCATTTCGGGATATCTGCGTTTAGAGATTTCCTCTGGAAAGTTTGAAAAACCGAGACGCGAGTTTTACTATACATTTCTTTTGGTCGTGTTCAATACTAACATTTATATTACATAGCGACTGGAGATAGGCACAGTTGAATGGATTAACGGGGTCTCTTCGTCGAAAATTGAAACTAAAAAATATTATATTTTCGGGAAAGAAAGTTTTTGGCCTTTTACTTTTTCATCTTAATACAGAAAATGTGAGAATCTTCCAAAGGACAGAAGCAAACATTTTCAAAAATCACCTCTACACAAAGATGTCTAGATCATGCAAAGAAGTAACTTTTAGACCCAAACTGAAATATATACATTGAATTAAAGAAAAATACTTTTGAAACAAATACTTTAATATGATCGCTGAAATATACGAAAAATACACTTCTCTATTCCGTTTGTGTTCCCAAGATTTGTAATGGAATCGAATTAGATATCATTCACAGGATTTCTACACAATATAATCAATGAAAGAAGTAAAATTTCACTCACGTTGAACACTGTCATCCTCTCTGCTAGACATCCGATGTTTCGTCGAAAGACACTCTTCACTCATTTTTTACTCATCGGCTCTTAAGATGTAATATGGATAATATTATGATAAAAACACTCAATCCGTTCATAAAATTGCGACTTTTTGTCACGGAATGGTTTGATTCCAACCATGTCATCGATGACAGTACGTGAACAATATTCATTTGCTTATTTGATTAAATCCCAGACATAGGAATCTTGTTTCAATTTTAAACGATAAATGAAACAAATATATCGGTATAAAGAAGTGTTAAATGGAGTTTTCAATATTTTTTAGTGCAGAGACATTGATCATAATAGCTCCTTTCGTATCCCATAGCTCCTTCCATATCCCACATTCGAACTAATTGTTTTAATCCATATATGGTTTCGTAATGCAATTTTCAATAATATTTGAAACTATCGCTTTGACTATCAGTTTTCAATTCAAAAAACAATTACCTTTCAATCGGTATTTTATCTGATCGTTCGTGTCAAAGTCCAATAATAATTTTTTTGTGATAGTTTTTCGTCCAAAACGTCTTTCCATTTGTTCGCATTTTCTTCTGTAGTTTCATTTCTGGTATTTTTTTTCGATTTGAAATTTCTCTTCTGAATATTGATTCTTTGTGATCTTCACAAATATCATTTCAGATGTTTACTACACCATTTTTGGGGGTTGTATTTTTCCCAACTTTCTCGACATTATTCATTTTAATTTTTTCTGTCTCTTGCTCTTTAAAACGTGAATATTTTCATCAGAACTTCAGTTTGCTGACTGAATGATATTTCAGTTTTACTACTGTCACTCTGACACCCTATATAAAATCAATGTTCAATGTTTTGAAAAGCCTTTATTTGATCAGCTTTTAATGAAATATTTACATCTTCGTTTTTTATGATTCTTCTTGTAGTAAATATGTTTGCTTTGAAACTAGCTATGTACTGATCTATCAAATGCTTGACATTTCGCAAAAAGAAATATAACATAGACATTATAATTGTATTGTTGATTTTGATGGTTAAATTTACTCTTGTGATCGAAAATGCGATGATTTTATTTGATTTCCTTTTCTTCAAAAATATTTTCACATTAGTATTACTATTTTTCATTAATATTGCAGAGGTGCGTTCTTCATGATCGAACACAAGCTCTACTGGAGGATTTAACGTCCGAAGCAGTCGATGAAAAAGAAGCAGATGAACACGTTGAAGAAGAACCCGTTGATGAAGAATTTTACGATGAAATATATTATGAAAAAGCAAAACAGCTTTTACACTATGATGAGGCCCCGGAATATTTGAAACACAATCCATACATACTATCTGGCTACAGAAAAATTTTATCTACAGATTTGTGTCTACAAAGGTAAGCAAAAACACTAGACCTTTTCAGTGAGAAATTGAAAAATAGTTACAGATATCATTCGATTTAAAGTACTACTTTATCACATCTATCTTCACGAGATTGATAACGAATCAGAGCGAATTTCTCATAGTTGATGTTTAGTAAAAAACTGGAATCCATCTAATTTCATTTTGAGGAAGCAGCTCCGTCACATTCACCTCATTTGTCAACAGGGTATATTCAAATATGTCTGTAACATGGGCTGAAAATTCCCGGGCCTAAGAAAGAAAACGCATTTCAATATCACTTTTGTAGAACGATTTATCTTTCGCCTCAAACAAGGTCTCGGTTACAGCAATAACCTCTTCTTTAGGTAGGTTGGTAGCCGGGCGGTTCAACGTGGGTGCTTTGTTCTCTCTCTCTCAATCGAGCGATGTGTGAATCGGTGGTTCAAGCCGCAGGCTGAACGATAATAACTCACAGACTTATGAGTGGAACATCATGAAATTTGAACAGCTTTCTTTCGAAAGTTAGTACTAACTGAAAAACCGGTGAATGGAAGAAAAATAGCGACATCTATGTGATAGGCCAATACTTTTCAGTCCAGTTGGTATAATAAAATGTGCTACACGATTTCATCTTTCTCAAAAGGAATTATGTGAAATATTATTAAAATTAAAATATTTATTCAGGAATCACAATGTTTTTTTCAGCATGTTTTGGTGGACAAACGAAACAATCAATATATGGTCACACATATTTGGATTTCTCCTCTTTATATTATTGATAATATATGATTTCATGATATTGAAGATTCAAGCAACTTTTAGCGATAAAGTTATAGTTGGATTATTCATGGCATGTTTCGTGGTGAGTTGGTATATCTAACAAATCGTAACTTTATCTAAATCAATTGCGCAATGTATTCACTTTCGATTCTCTACTCCTTTCAATGGTACACAACTTTTTTATGAATATACAGCTTCATAAATCAACATTTGACAAGATGAAGATAAATATGATCACTTTTCAAAGATTTTAGAAGATTTTTTTCCTCATTCCTCGTTTTCAAGTAGTAGAGACTTTTACAGCCTCAAATGATTTTAAAATTTGACCCCTGAAAGTTTCAGATTTTTTCCTTTTTTTTCAAGTTGTTCAATTGATGACCTATTCATTTTGTAGACATTCATATTGAATATAGGATAAGGAAAATAACTTTCATTTGTTTTTTCTTCCAATTACGACCGATTTCGTTCCTTAAATATACAGGTACCTGAAATAACAAATATTACCTGTATCAACAATACCAATACTAAAACAATAACTATTTGTCTTCTATAGTATATCAAGATTACAACTATTGATCCCAAAAACCTACTTGTGGATTTCTCCAGCTACCAAACTATCCCATATAAACGAGTTGTCAAAATTCAGAAATTGTAAAGGGGAGAGCTGCATAGTTCTAGTTAGTCATTGAGGGTTTTGAAAGTGGGGTTTTTGTACAATTTATTCATTTCCAATGCTTCCTTTATTGCACGTATGGAGAATTTTCATGTTTTCTCCATTTATTGTGTGGTTTGTCCATATATATTGCGGTTGCTATATTTCTCGATATTGAAGGAGCATTTGACAATGCACTACCTTAATCTACAGGATCATCTCTGGCTAGGAAAGGTATAGAATTGACCATAACTGGCTGGATCTATGCCATGTTGGTGAACAGAACTACAACTACGACTCTTCAAGGCGAGGCGATTAGGTTCAGGGTCACCACAGGCTGCCCTCAAGGTGGGGTACTATCTCCCCTCCAACTGCCAACTACGAACTGCCTTATAAAGTACTGTTCCCGAGTAGAGAGGACTGAATCCTCCGGGAGAAGAAAATATTAAGAGCAGATAGTTGTTGGTTCACAGATGGATCCAAAACACCTATCGGTTCTGGTGCAGATGTTTTCAGTCGCAAACCCAGGACAGAGATATCAACCTGCCTAGGAACCTATGCGAACCTACGCTACTGAATTGCGTGTGGAGAGATTGGAAGATCCAACCTCATACACAAGTCAATAAAAATATTCTCGGACAGTCAAGCGGCGTTGAAAGTTCTTGGTTCCTACCGAGCCACATCTAAATTGGTAGCAAATTGCCAAAAACAACTCTCCTCGATAGGAAGACTTACCAGATTGTCTCTGGTCTAAATTCCTGGCCATACTGGCCTGGAAGGTAATGGGGCTGCCGACTGCCTTGCAAAGGAGGGTGCTGTAAGCAGCTTCATCGGACCAGAACCTGTCATTGGCATCGCTTTAGGCTTTGCCAAACAAAAATTGGACACCTGGATGGCAAGAAGATTTATGGACAGAATCTTCCAGGATTGGCTCACTTCAAGGAGTTTTTTCACCCTTGATAACAAAGTGTGTGTCACCTCTGTTTGGAAAATGATGAAACAGCAGAGCACATACTTTGTGCCTGCTCCGCTAGGGGGCAAACCAGGTTTCTAAAACCCGGACTCACTTTGGACCTAACCTAACCTAAACATATACATATAGCTGATTATGTACCTAATAATATATGCTCCCGGTATCTTATGTTGAAATTTCTGCTTGTCATGCTTGTATAAGCTGCTGAACAGTCACCACATTCTAGTCCATATATGCTCGATTTCTCTTTACTATCCCTTTTGGGTTTTGCGTTGAATAACATTTTCCCCAAATTATTCTTACTAGTAATTAACTAGTAATTAAATTGATTTTTGAAAAAAAAAATGTTTTCGGAGAGCTTTCCCGAATGCTAGTATATGCTGTGCTAGCATATTTCTTAGCTCCTTCAGATCATTCATTATTTAGATACTGTTCGTTCTCGATCAATTATTGGTTCTTATTGGAGATCAGTTTCTCTAGTAGGTTTTTGGGATCAATAGTTGGTAATCTTGATATATTATTGAAAATACCTGAGGAATGATAAATCATTTTATATTTGACTTGTTTTATCAAAGGCAATGTTTTGTCAAATGGTTTAACAAAGCGAAACCGCTCATAACAAATGGAAAACTTAGTAAAAATCAGTCAAAAGTTATTTTCTTCATCTCATATTCTTCTCTTCAAATCTGTATATTTTCAAAATTATTGAGTACCTGAGCCTCCACCATTAACAATGGTTAAATCATCAAGTGGGATCCCAAATTTTCTTTATAAATGGCGCAGTTAGTAGGATACACTAAAGTATCTTATTTGTTGTATATTTGTAAAGATTCCTGAACCGGTTTCGATATTTTTCAGACGTGCATGGCATTGTCAGCATTGTATCACACATTCTCATGTAGATCTGAAAAGGACTGCTACAAGTACCTCGCATACGACTTGTTCGGCATAGCGTTATCTCTTTTGGCTATTTACACTTCAGGAATATATTATGCCTTTTGGTGTGACACGGTCAGTAGGTACAATCATATTCTCTTTGCCCACTCTATTTTTTTTTTTTCACTTCCAGAACTGGCGGATGTTCTACCTATTAACAGTGACCTTGATTTTCATTTTCGCGATGGTGCTGCAAGTCCCCAGTTTGAATGTTAACGCCAATGTGAAGATGTTAGTCTTTGTAGCTTGGGGAGCTTACGGAGTCATTCCGACGATACACTGGACCGTTCGAATGGGAGGTTTCGATAATCCTTTGGTTGAAGTAAGTATACTATAATGTAATGATTTATAACAATGTGATAGACAGATTTTTCATACTGGATCAATGGTAAAACGATTTTATTAATGTATCAATACCACTGGTTGAATATAGAGTTACTCACTGTCCTCAAATGTACATACTTTATCCAGACTCAGGTTATTTGAAAGTTACTCAAGCAATAGGAAACAAATAGTGAGAATTGAACACCATGATATCATGCCTAAAGAAATGACATATAAGCCCAAGGTACTGTCCTTGGTTCATTGTTATTTTCTATATATGTAAATGATCCCTTTTCAATTAAAACAGCAGGTAATATTATAATTTCTGCCGACGACACAGTCATTTTATAAGCCGCCGATACGTGAGATGAGCTAAAACGAATAACAGAAAAGATCTTACTAAAATCAGCGATTTATTGGAACATAAAACAACTGACATTAAATTACAATAAAACTCATTTTATTTTTTTTTTCATGAGCTACAAGTATCTTCCAAATTTTCAAATCCTACAAATGAAAAACAATTCTCAGGTGATACAAACCAAAAATTAAATCAGGTATCTTGGAGCAACACTCGACTCACACATGTGATGGAATTACCACATAAACTAAGTAACTAAAACTATCAGACTCGTAGTATTCAAATTCATATACCTGAAGAGAATTCTAGATATTACTCACCTGAAGATCATGCACTGGTTGAGTCATGTTTACTGTATGGGATCCTTTCCTGGGCGCAGTAGCATCTGTACATCTAAAAGAAGAAGATATTAAAAACAATTTATAATAAAATAAATACTTACCCAGCAACATTCCATTCGACTAAACAAGAATTTTAGATAAATACATAAATATAGTACGAACAAATCTGTTTAAAAAACAATAGGCCAAAGATCATATGCATAAAATTTTCAAGAAATTGCCAGATATAGGTATAAACTATATATTTACCAAGTCCATTCATTTAGTCTAGTGAAAAAATGTTTAGAGACTATTTTTGTTCAACTGATAGATTCATATTTCAATAGTTTCAGTTATTTTACATTTATATCTTCAAATAATTTTATTGTGTACTTCACATTTCATAATATTTTATTCTAGTATGTTTTGATATTCAAATATTCACATCTGTTTTCCATACCACTTCTCAACATAAAACCTCAAAATAAATAAATTACTTTTTAGTTCAGAAATACTAATACAGAAATTCTAATTAGACTAGATTAAGGATAAATACCATGTAAGAAAAACAAATGTGAATAAACGCTGTTGATATTATAATTATTATTATTATATGCCTCATTTTTATTGACTATATCATGTGAATGATCTGTAGAGATGAATTTTTTGAAAATGAGAGTGAAAACAAGTGATCTTCTCAAAATTTTGGATTATTCGTCTAGATAAAAATGACGTAGACATTAAAAAAATAGCATGTATTTCCAATGTCTTTCGTTATTCTTTTCATTCTGATTAGTGATAAGGGATTATTTGAGTTCTGATTCACTAAATACAAATCTGTAGTTATTCTTAGAAACAATATCCATAGAGAGGCATAAAAAAACTCAAATCGCTAGAAGTTCACCATTTTCGAAATCACTTTGTTGCAGGTTACCCATAATAACATTTAACAGATATTATTTGTGGTTGTGTATGTAGTGAATTTTGGAATTACCAGTTTTTCATCTCTAATCAGGTCGTTTCTTTTGCAGCTGCTCTTCCCAAGAGTCATGGGCATGTATCTCATCAGTGGCATTGCTTTCCTGATTTATATTACCAAAATTCCTGAGAGATTCTCCGCAGGAAAATTCGACTTCATCGGCCACTCGCATCAGTGGTGGCATTTTTTCGTAGTGATGGCTCTGTATTATTGGCACAACAGCGGAATGGTGTACATCCAGTACAGGCTGAACCATGCCTGTCCCAATAAGATGAAATTTCCTTGAGTTTTATCTCTTTTTAAACAATTAAGGTTATTAATGGAACAGCAACTGATGATTTCCCTTAAGTTTCCCCAATAAAAGTTTCACTTTTTGAATGAACTTGATATGCATTAACAAATATCTACTGAACAAAGTGAAGAAATTATACATTCTGTTGAGCAAAATAGAAAATTTTCCATTTGTTGGAAATATAATTTTTCTACTGTTCTCAAAATAGGAAAATCTGTGATAGGGTATTATGTAAAATAACTTGACAGGTGGTAATCTGTTAATTCCAAGTTCACCATTGTGTACATTCATAGTTCTAGTACCTAGTGCAGGCCAACTATTTTGAATTAATTGTTGAAGTGCCTTCTTCTTGTCAAATTAAAAGTTCACTCAGATATTCTAATACGATTTTAATGCTTCGTATTTTTCATACCGAGCGTTCTAACTAAAATTTGGCTCGAACGTAATTCAAAAACAGGCTCGTGATGAAGAAATCCAAAGATAATATCAATTTTTGTGTTGATGTTTGAATGACAAAGTGGTCCGTGGACCGGCAAAGTGGTCTTGTGAGGTAGCCAGCTGAAACACCTGATCTCTCATCATTGGAATTTTATTTGGATGCTTAAGGTGATCTTTCACTATCACCCCTGTGAATCCCCAAGAGACGCGCGACATGGAACTGTCAAGAAATGCTGATTGCTGAACCCAAAAAACCAAGCAACTTTGATTCAACAACAGACTGCGCTTTGTCAACCCGCAATAGGTCTCATCAGTGCTGCTAGACTAAGCAACCAGTATTGCTATTCTCAAGTGTCCTAAGCTCTTTGCTGTTTAATATATGTTCCATGTCGAAAGTTATCTGAACGCAGCATTGATGAGGTTAAGTGTTCTGTGAGTAGAGTAGAATTATGTTGAATATTGAGTGAATAATTATTTTGATATTAAAAATGGTAATTAGTAGTATTATTCATTAATTTATGATGCTCGATGAAGTAAGAAACCCCGGAGATAATGTATTATAACATTACTCTCACGTTTTCATAAAACATACATACATACAACATGAATTTAAGATTTGTGGCATTTAGACCAATAATAAATTGAGCAATTATAATTGCTGATAGCTTTGATTTGAAGGTGATTTTCCTTTATCCAATTTTGCTGGGGATAAAAAAAAGGTGTTGTGGTTCATTCTATGTGATGGATTTAAGAGGGAGCTGATACTCGCAAGGGAGTGAAAGGCAAACATTGGCCAGTTCTTTAAAATTAATGGCTGCTCGTCTGTTTTCATGTTACAGGGAGTCAAATTTTCGTTAGAAAGTTCTCATATTCAGTTTGAATCTATCAACGCTAATTTTATGTTTTGCGATTCACTTCCATATATTTCCACTTGAATTATTGTCAAGAAATACTCAAGAGTCAATAATAAAAGTATGTTAATTAACGTATTTTGTTATTTCCTTGTTGCAGACACATTGTCTTACGTATATTCTGTTTTCTAGAAAGTTCACCTCATTTTAATTATAAGACTTTCATTTCCCTGTTTCATTATACAATTTCCACTCCCCCGTTTAGAGAATAAGTTTACCTTTCAATGTAAATATGAATCTTTTCTTCAAATAATCGCCATCTAGTGTTTAGTAGATACAGAAATCTGTTTACTGTCAATTTCAAATTTTCTTGCTTCAGTTACTAGTGCAGAGATGGCAGTACAGTCGCAAAAATAACTCAAAATTCAGTAATTGTTGAATGGGAGTAGATATATAAAATCGTTATCAGAGTAATTCTCTACAATCGATGGTTACAGTTTTATTTGAAGATTCCTGAAATCTTACACTGTACTTATGGCTAGGAAATTCTGATTTTATCTAATAAAGAGATGAGAAATAGAAATCCCTGTTCTTTCATCATGCTCTCTTTGAAGTAATGATGCAGGACATCAAAATTCCTTCGAAAAATTTCCATCTTTGAATGAAACTTTGACCTAACCTTAATTTTTTTTATGATTTTATCGCTTTTAATTATTATAAAAAAAAAACAAATGGAAATCAATAAATTCTGAATCAAACATTTTACTTGAAAATACAAAACATGGAATAACTTAAAAGAAATGAAAAATCCACACTTTGTGCTTGAATCATTTTTCTTTACGGTCACTCAAGAGAGAATTGTGCATTCGGGATACCTCAGCTTCTACTAATTCGTTCACAACACTGCCATTAGCATCGATGAAGTTGGCGACACTTTTCTTGGAACTCGTTTCTCGCCTCTGTTTGGTCTTACCATCTACCACTGCAAGAACTAGGTTATATTTATCGTCGTACCTGAAAATTTCATTAAACTAGGAATTAAATAATAAATGAATCAATCTGAAATACTCACTTTGCCAAATAAGAACTAGCTTCCCAAGTATTTCCTTTTTTGGAACTATCTTTCTGGATACATACTGCAAAAATTCCCTTTTCTTTATAAGTTGTATAGAGAGTCAATACGCCCATCATTATGAAATAAGTGGTGACACTGAATATCAAAATGGGCCTTAAAAAGAAAATCATTGTTATTTAATGCAGTTGCAAACATAAAATTAAATTATACATTTATACGACTAAGAAGCATAGAGAAAAACTGTTATACCAGGTTGTTCCAGAAATGAGGAGAATTTCAATTTTTCTCAAAAAAAATTCATTTATTCATCAATTTCTATTTTGTTCCCTTCAAAGTAGTACTAGTGCCAGCTCTTTTGCATTTTTTTTGATATTGCTAATAAACAAAAGGATAAAACCTAGTGAAGCAACCACATCATTTAAAACATGATTCCAAGAATACTGTTGTTATGGTGAGAAAATATAATTTATTTTGGTGTGAATACATTTTAAATGGGTGAATGAAAATCTGCAGCATGCTGCATGCACAAGGTTTTATTACAGAGATTCTTGGGATAGTTAATTTGAATGAAAGTACAGATGTCTGATTCGAAATTTACCAAACAGAAGTGAAAATGATTGAAATGAATATTTACGAAATGTATCTTACCTAGATTGTGGAAAAGGATATAAATAGTCCCAAATCAATGCAAACATTGCAACACCAACAGCTATGCCACATATGACCAATCTTCCATCCATAAGGGCAAAATTTTCAACATAATTATATTTTTTGGTTAACACCTTGAACAGAGAATAATGGTTGATAGAAATTAGTAATTATCATACAAAGTTGTTTGGAAATTTCCCAAGTTTCATCAGACTGGATCATTTGATGAAAACCCTCCCTTCATTTGAACCAACTCACCTCTGTAACGGCATCGTCTAAAGCATTTTTAACAGCAGATCCGTCCCATTTATTAATTTTCACAGGCTGAAAAATTTTTAGGTTATTGAAGACAACACTACTAATTTTTTCAAAACAGAAAAGCTACGTACTACTTTCTCGACTTTTTCTTTGTTATCCTTTTCCTTTGGGGCCATTTTAATTTTCTTTAATTAGTTTTAATCAGAGGAAAACAGATGTGACAGTTTTTTTTTCAACCACAACAAACGCTCAACGAATCTCAAAACGACTGAAAGACACGTCATATCATGACGTTCCTCCTGCAACCTGAAAATGTCAGATGATCAGCATTGCCAATAAAAATTACCAAATATCTCAATTTCATGATCAAATTCCCCGACACAGTTCGAAATTCTCTGAATCATTCGTTAACAATACAAATTGTTGGCTATTCAATTTGAGAAATGGAAGAACCACTCAAATGATTTGAGTTTGAAACAACAATCAAGAAAAAAAATCCACCGTTGTTTTTCATCTAGTTACAGCAACCTATTCAACTACATTAATTCTCTCAAATATATAAACGAAACCATCGTAAGAGAACTTCAAACATGCAATCAACTTGTTTTTGTCATCAATTAAAAGCAAAAAAATTTATGGATGAGGATATAACCGCTTTATTATCGAAGTCTGATCTCTACGTTGGCAATAAACGCCATAGAACTTGTATGTATTTCATGTGTGTATAAGCTCTGGTATAAGTTTGAGTTCTTTGGCCACGGTACGTGGAGAGCAGGAATACAGAAATATTTTCCCTAGCTTTCAGTTTGTTTGATCATATCCACATAGATGGCACTCTGACATCGTATATCTGTATTACTTTACTTTCGATTTGATCGTTTCTTGTACTTTTATTCTATAGAGTTTTAATCTCCTGTCGTGAGATATTCTCCCATCTATTTCACTATTTTTTTCATTCATTCCGTTTTTTTTAAGTAATTGAATTATTATGAATTTCGTGTTTTGTGACGATTTTCGATGAAAAGTAGCACAATATCCCAACTATTATTTGAAATAATATAATTTACCTAAACAAGTACTTGAGTGGTAGTCACGAATGACAATTTAGTTGAACAGTTGTTAGGAAATGAAGAAATCATATTAAGACGTAAAGAAACTATTCTGCCGTTTTACCTATTCTGCAACAAACATTTTTGAATTTTGTGAAACAATGACTAATTCATTTTGCACAATATATGCTTTACTAATGATTGTACATTTTTTCTTAATGTGCTTATTAATAAACGGACAGTATCCAGAGATAGTATCCAGCGACATTTTCTTGGTATCCTTCGGAATACTTTCAATAGACTATTATTCATTGCGAAAAATCTAACTAGAGAGCTCTACTCAAATCTGCTCGAAGAAACAATACACTTCTCAATAACAATTATATTGGAGAAAAAAATCGATACAACTGGTACCAAAGTACTATCTTTCAGTTAGATAATGGGTTAATGATGAAATAATATATTTCCTGGCAGATGGATTGATCTAAGAGGAGTAATAGAATGTCCACCACGATCACCGAACACATCCTCTGAAGATTTTGATTGAATTTGAAGAGAAGAATAACAGCTGCGTGTCGAGAACTTTAAACAAAAGTTTTTCGTAATGTTACAGGGGAGAGAACAGACTTCATTACCGTTCAGAAAATAATGGAGCTTTCGAAAATTCAATGAGATATATTACGTTTTGTTGATTTTCCATGTTTCGTGAAAACGATTGATACCTGAATATCTTCACGGTTTAACTTGATATATCCAAAAGTACATGATAGAAAGGTCAAGTGTGTTTGAAAAAGTAATTGAACGACCTTCAAAATGAGGTATCACTCAATTTTCTTCTACATTTAAATTCTTGGGGTTGCCTTCACCCCTGCCAGAGGTTTGATGGTATTTATGGGAAATCTAGCTCATTAAATGTCCCCCTTAAAAATTAACTTGACGTATTTTTGCATATTTCTAGATTGTCGTTGGATGCCGAAATATAGAAGAAGGTGCGTTTTCAAATTAACACACTGTATATTCGTACGAAGTGAATGGAAATACCACGTTGCAATATGGACCAGGAAAAAATTCCAAAACCATGCATGCATCCATACCGATTTCTATAGTTACGACTGACTCTCTTTTGATAGACCTATTATCATTTCATTAATTTTCTCCGCCGACTGAACAGGTGCATACTACTCGGAACGTTATTCTTGGCTTGCCAAGCGCATCACCCTCATAATCCTAAGGAGGGTGACGTGGTTAATTGTTTTCGAACGTGGCTACGGGTTTTACAGGTGAAATGTGGTCGGCACAAGTGGTACCGTAGTCGTATCGACGATTACGAATGTTCGATTATGGGGGTGGTACAGATGTTTTTTTTATTGATAAGATATCGTCAATGTATACACGACGGCGTGGTTTTACAATAACACAAGGATGTGGCAAGTTTTTTTATCCGTTTTTATCAACACTGAAAAGAACGAAACGTTGTTACGGAGTTACGGTCTTGTCACTTCACAATGAGTTGTGATATCCTCATCATATCCTCGCTATATAAATCAATAGCGGTACAACATTTCGTAAAACAAACTATTTAAATTTCATAAAATGAAAAAATAAACTTCAAATCAAACCCATCAATTTATTACATTACACAATTTATCACTATTTGTTATGAAATAAAGTTTGCCTCGCGGGAAAAATAGTAAACTAACGAATAAAAAACTCAATACACTACTAATTGTTCCTCTTCAAAATGACTACAGAAGAGCCCACAATAGCATATGTCCACCTTTTAAAGAAAGTTTCACTGTTTGAAAAAAAGGTCACATATAACACTAATTCCAACAATCTTGTATATACACACTCATAGGCATCTAGTTGCCTGTTGTTGTTAACTAAAAATAAATTTGGATAGGCAATATTGTGGAATTAATTTTTATATAGCCAAAAATTGTTTTATATAAACATATAATTGTAAAATAATAGATAAGGCAAAATTGTAAAATTAATTTAGGTTGGTATACCTGTATGGTTGGTACGCCTGGATGGTTAACTTGTATGGGTTACCTTTATAGCATAAATAGGGTTAGCTCGCATTAGTTTCCAGTTTTAATCTTCCTCTTTGAAGATGATCACTTGGTGATCGAAACACGTGTCGAGGTATTAAAAATAACGATTTGGTGTTGGGAAAAAACTCCAGTAATATTCATTACTACAACAAAGGTTCCAAACAGTGCATCATAAATATGTTTCTGGTATAATCATCAGCTTTTTCGTTCCCTGCATTTCCTGAATGAATCTATTTCAGTTCGCCAGTTTCTCCTCAGTTCTTGATAAATTTATTACTTTTTGCTGAAAATCTGTTACTAGACTCTAGTCTATTTTGAATAAGCGTATTAGTTGGCTACTCTGTGTATTTGTCATTAGAAAACTAATAAAAATGTAACGAAAATAGCAAATGAAAATCAAAAATATACAATATAATCATCGACTACGTATGGCAACTGACATCAATGACAAAAATATAGAGTAGCCATGAAAGGTATAAGTGAAACCTTTGGCGTAGAATAAATTCAAAACAAGCACTTCCAGCTACAGAAGTAACCAAGTCTATAATAGGAGACCATTTCAAGTAGTGTGTCAATGAGAAAGATAGCAAAAACATTAGAATTACATTACTCTACTCGTCGCCTGTTTCACTAACTCCACTCGAAAAAAATAAGGTGTTTAAAAAACTCAGTTCAGAGTTTTGAAGTTGAAATCACGTTGACTTCAATATTTAACATCCTATTGAATTAAATAAGTTTGAATACTAAGCTCATGAGTTTTGTGTTTTGTGCAACGACTTGATTCCAAAACAATTTCAAATGTGACAGAACACCAACAAATTATACGTTCTATGAACATGAAAAAGAATTTGCCACAGCTCTGGCTCTGAGAATGAGTTCTTACCAAGAAAAAAATGACGCTTTTCTTTGGATCTGGACTTCTTCTTGTGGGTGTTGTAGCTCTTCTCTGCGGCTCCAGAACTGAATAACTTTATATTTTCAATCTGTTATATATTTCACAACGTCTTTATTCGACTTTATTCCCACTCTACGAGTATTATATACTTCATTGCACTGAAAACTAAAGATTGTAGTTTTTTCTTTATGAAGATCCTACATTGATTTTTACGAACATCAGAATCAAATTGCTTGAAGCTTCATTTATGTACACCTTCTGCAATTGCATAATGGTACATGGTACCATGATTTAGTTGAATCATTTTGGGTAAGGCACCACTTTGGTGGTCAACCTAAAACCCATTTTTTGGTAGAAGTAATCTAGAGTTGTTCAATTCAATCAATTTTGGTGTATTACCGTATTGGTGGGAGCTGGGATCACTTCATTTAACTCAATTGAACCAATATTCCCAAATTGGTGTTGATATTTATTTGTTATTGAGAAGGTTAATAACGTATTTTGATGTTTCTAGCACAAGTAAAAACTCCCTGAGAAGAAGACTTTGAATCCTGCACGGGGAACTAGAGGTGTTCGGCAGTGACCGAACAGTTCTCGTAGATAAAATAAGAGTTCGAGACAGAGCTGTAGTGACGTTTTTTTTCGGTAGTACGTAACGACTTAATGGATACGACTCAAAAGTAATGGATTTACTACAATAGTTATGACATATGTTACACTGGTAAGGTAGGACAATGGACTGTGTCTGAAAGAAACATTCCTAGATGGCGTCAAACCAGTTCTACCAGCCACTCTGTACGAGTGCAATTGCTGTAACGAGCAATAAGAAGGTAACAAGAAGTGCATGTATTAACGCACTATTTACCTGTGATTGTATAATTAGAGAAAGAAGAAACGCTTCGGTAGAAATCGTAGATTACACACACACACGCAGTCGAGTAAGCCACCGTCTAGGGCAGTAAAAAATATTTTTATTCGGAGTGAGCGAATCCTAGGAAACGAGAAATGAGTTCGGCGTAATTTTCTCGTTTAATGAGGTTATTCGAGGAGACACGCTCTGCCGAGCCGGGGCGAGGGGCAATGCCTCAACTCCAGATTGTATCTGAAAAATGAACGCACCATCGGTGGAGCGTCCCAGCAGTTCCACTAGTCGAATCGACGAAGTCTTTTCCTCGAGAGTTCTCAGAAGCAGCTTTTGATTTACAGTTTTTTGTTGAATCATTTTTCAGATTTGTATGCGGACTAATGTATATAGTAAATTTCATTTACTGATTGACTATTTCAATCGGGTTAGAAATTGAAAAA